TGAAGCCATGGGTGTGGCCAACTTCTTCTCTGAAGAATTGACTGCCTTCAAGTGGATCAGTAGGAGTAATTGAGACAGGATTTGGACTTTCCCAAGTGAGAGGGAAGGGCACTGTAGTCAGAGGGAACAGCTTCGACAAAAGCCTGAGGAAGTAAGAAGGCAGGGAGAGAGAGAGAAGCGGGGGCGAGAGGAGGACCATCCACTCGGCCACAGCCACGTACGAGAGAGCAGCTGCTTTACTGGCTCACTGAGCAGACTGTCAAACCTTTGGATGTTTGCCAATCTGGTGTAATTCTAATATGAGTTTCCCTTACTAGGCATGAACTTGGGCATCTTTTCATAGACTTAAAGGTATTTGTCGTTCTTCTGGGAGTTTTCTGTTTGAATCCTTTATCCATTTTCTATGGGGTTGTTGTATTTCTTATGGATTTTTAGGGACTCTCTATATATTAGCCTCTTGAAAAATGGAGTCTTGAGGATGAGAGTGATTTGAAAAGTTGTGGTGTGTATATTTATTCGTGCTTCCAAGGTCCAGTATGTGCTAAACCCCGTTCAAGGCATTTCAGGCACAGTGCTGAGCAAGACACACCAAAGTCCCTTCCCTCATGACAGCTTTCATTCTAGTCAAGGAAACAAATAATGTAGGGGAAAAAAAACATATAGTATATTAGAAATTGAGAAATGTTATGGAGAAAAAGAATACAAGGAATAGGGCATAGGGAATATTGACAGGGCAGTTTGGAACCTTAAATGGTGTAGCCAGGAGTGACATTTGAAAATTCAAATGGGATATCTCCTTCAGTCTGGAACAGTTCTTTGGTCTTCCCTTGACCTTCATGACACTGACACTTTTGAAGATTATAAGCCAGGAGTTTTGTAGACTGTCCCTTAGTTGGACTTACTCTGACATTTCCTTGTGGTTAGATTCAGGTTCTGCATATTGTCTAGGAGTATCACAGAAGCAAAGCTGTCTCCTCATTTCATCCCATTAGATGGCTCAGGATTTTAATACTGCTTTATTGACTACACCAAAGTCTTTGACTGCGTGGATCATAACTGTGGAAAATTCTTTTTTTTTTTCACATTTTTTAAATTTATTTTTTTGGTTGCACTGGGTCTTCATTGCTGTTCTCCAGCTTTCTCCAGTCGCCGTGCATGGGCTTCTCATTGTGGTGGCTTCTCGTGTTGTGGAGCACAGGCTCTAGGAGCACAGACCTCAGTAGCAGTGGTACACGGGCTTAGTTGCTCCATGGCACATGGGATCTTCCTAAATCAGGAATCAAGCGCTTTGTCCCTGCACTGGCAGGTGAATTTCTATCCACTATACCACCAGGGAAGTCCCCACCACGATTTCTGAAATACGCAGAACCGATGAAGCTTCATTAAGTTTTCTCATAATCAGAACCAAATAAATGAAAGTTGTATAGAAAGCCACAAGTGTAACATTTCACTATGGTTAACAAAAGCACAACAAATTTCAAAACATCAGAATTCCTAGAACTTACTCTCACAACATCCTTCATAAATTCAGTGTATAGCCAGCAAAGAACCACACAGCTATTAAGCAGTGGGATCCTGGGTGAGAATACAAAAAAACCTCAAAACAAGTTTCCACATCCTGCTGACCTATTCAGCCAAAAGCTGGTCAGTGTATGGAATTATTGTCAGGTTTTGTTTTGTTTTTTCCTTCTCTTTTCTTCAACTGTGGCCCTCTTGAGTAATCTGAAGGGCCTGCGGTTAGTATACTGAGTTTTGCCCACCAAATATATACATATATATCAGTCTCTTGTGGAAAGAAATATTTTCTATAAGCTTTGAGACACTTTAGTAGGGCATATTAACGCTGATACAGATGCTTTTCCCCTGGCTAACTTAAACTAAGTATAGACTGTGGTTTAGACACTCCTAGCCTGGGATCTGAGCCCAAACCAAGCAGACATATTCTCAGATGATATGATGATCTGGGAGCCATTTAACCTCATAATTTTATCCGATGGCACAAAGCCCCCAAATAGCGAACAGGCACTTACAGTCATTTTTCTGCATTGTTTTGTGATTCCATATGAGTCAGAAGAATGTTGGGCTTGGCTTTGCCACATTCTCCTTGTTTCCATTATCCTCACCCACCATATGAAGGGTCAGAGCAGAAATGGCATCAAGTTCAAAATTCCCTCTTCCAATCAAGCAAAACACAGACCCAGAGTGTTCCAGTGATCTGTGTCAGGTCCCAGCTGCGTGAAGAGAACCCATGGTCTCACAGACATCTCCTGTGCAGATATGTACATGTATGTAAAAGAGAACCTGCATTTCAGTTCTGGCACTCATCTTTAATGTTATTGTAAGAAAATCACTTAATTGTTCACCATTTTAGGTTTTCAGCTTCTGGAGAGGAGGGAACTCGGCCCGAGTGGTCGAGGTAGTGGAGCGGGTGGAGGGAAGCAAGCTGCGCCAGCCACGCGTTCACGTCGGGGACACAGGCCGCGGCGCGGACGGGAGGGCGGGCGCAGAGGAGCCGGCTCTCCCAGCAGCCGGAAAATTCTTAAAGAACGGGAATACCAGACCACCTTACCTGCTTCCTGAGAAATCGGTATGCAGGTCAAGAAGCAACAGTTAGAACTGGACATGGGACAATGGGCTGGTTTAAAATTGGGAAAGTAGTATGACAGGTCTGTATATTGTCACCCTGTTTATTTAACTTATATGCAGGGTACATCATGCGAAGTGCCGGCCTGGGTGAAGCACAAGCTGGAATCAAGATCACCAGGAGAAATATCAATAACCTCAGATATGCAGATGACACCACCCTCATGGCAGAAAATGAAGAAGAACTAAAGAGCCTCTTGATGAAAGTGAAAGAGGAAAGTGAAAAAGCTGGCTTAAAACTCAACATTCAAAAAATAAAGATCATGGCATCCAGTCCCATCACCTCATGGCAAACAGATGGAGAAACAGTGACAAATTTTATTTTCTTGGGCGCCAAAATCACTATAGATGGTGACTGCAGTCATGAAATTAAAAGACACTCGCTCCTTGGGAGAAAAGCTGTGAGAAACCTAGACAGCAAATTAAAAAGCAGAGACATTATTTTATGGACAAAGGTCCGTATAGTCAAAGCTATGGTTTTTCCAGTAGTCATGTATGGATGTGAGAGTTGGACCATAAAGTAAGCTGAGTGCTGAGGAACTGATGCTTTTGAACTGTGGTGTTGTAGAAGACTCTTGAGCATCCCCCTTCAAGGAGATTAAGCCAGTCAATCCTAAAGGAAATCAGTCCTGAATATTCATTGGAAGGACTGATGCTGAAGCTGAAACTTCAATATTTTGGCCACCTGAGGTGAAGAAATGACTCATTGGAAAAGCCCCTGATGCTGGGAAATTTTGAAGGCGGGAGAAGGGGCCGACAGAGGATGAGATGGTTGGATGGCATCACCGACTGGATGGACATGAATTTGAGCAAGCTCCGGGAGTTGGTGATGGACAGGGAAGCCTGGTGTGCTGCAGTTCGTGGAGTTGCAGAGTTGGACACCACTGAGTGACTGAACTGGATGTTCACTTTTTCCCCTTCATTAAGATGGTATCTGTCAAGTTTCTCTACTGTAGAGATACTATTTTCCGGCTTGAAACTTTGGATCTATGTAAATATCCTGTTTACGTCAAAGTATAACCACTGGCTTTAGCACCCAGAGATCTAATCACATTAGCCGAACATCATTACTGTACCAATTATTAGTTGACATTCTACTGTAAAGGAGATATTTTTCTTCTCCATGTATTTATCTTTAATTTCTGTTAAGTATGGATTTATGGATTCTTGAACTGTATCAAATGCTATTTCTGTGGTTGTTGTTTACTTTTAGTCTGTTTATGTAGTGATATATATATGTATATATATATTCTCTATTGTTGACCCAATTTTGCATTCCTGAGATAGAGTATTTGATTAAAACATATTTGCTAAATATACTATTGGATTCATTTAGCTAAGATTTTATTAAGGATTTTTACATCTACAGGTATAAGTGGGTTGAAATGTTTTCTTGTATTATCTCATCTGTTTTGGGGATCAAGATGACACCAGTCTCAAAATAGACAGCTTTCGTTCTTTTCTCTTATATCTAGAACAACTTTGTATGAGATAGCGATTAACTATTCCTTGGGAGTTTAGTAGATTGCACCTATAAAAAACCATCTGGGTTCTTTTTTTGGCGAGGGGAGGGAAGATTTCAACTACCATTTCAATTTCTTTACTACTTTGCTCTATTCAAGTAATCTGTTTCTTCACGGAACAGTTTTGGCATTTTGTATCCTTCTATGAATGTATTTTCAAATACACTTTCTCTGTTGCATCTGTAGTGAATTCCCCACTCTGGTTTGTATTTTGTATTTGATTTGTTTGCTTCTGGTTTGTATTTTGTATTTGGTTTTTTTGCTTCTTTTTTGTTTGTTTTGTTTGCTTCTTTCTTAATTGATCAGTCTTGCCAGAGAGAGGTCTGCTTTTCCTCTTAATTTTTGTTTCAAAGATTCCACTCTTGATTTTATTTTTTTTAAATATGGAACGCTTCATCCTTGTGCAGGGGCCATGCTAATCTTCTCTGTATCGTTCCAATTTTAGTATATGTGCTGCCGAAGCGAGCACCCACTCTTGATTTTATTAACCTGTTGTTTCCCTCCCTACTTCATTTATTTCTGCTCTTCTATTATTTCCTTTCCTGTTGCTGAGGTTTGCTCTGGGGGTCTTTTTCCAACTTCTTGTATAATTTATATGACAAAATGCCCAGATTTTAATTATTTAAGAAAATAAATACAAATGTAAGCTGTTTTACTAATTGCTTTATAACCACAAACTAGTACAGAGAATGCCCTGTACAAAACACAATAAAGGTTCAAAGATGGAGGTGTTCCCTTAGGCAAGGCTGAAGAGTTCAATCTCTGGTATTTGGAATTTAGGCTGCAGTCCTTGTTTTTGGATGGACCGCTGGATGTGTGGCACAGTCCATGCTTTTAACCAGATTTGAACACGAGAATGGCCACTTGGCCCAGGTAGAAGTAGATGAAGTGTTTGGTTTCATGCGTCACATAACTACCGAAGTTCCTCCCCACGATGCAGTGCCAGGTGGGGTTGTACTTGTCAAACTCCTTCTTGATATGGGCCACAATGTCCTTCTCTATATTATACTTCTCCAATGCACACTCCACCAAGTCCTGTTGTATCTCCTCTGACATATCGGCATTCTTGATTACAGCCTTTTGGTCACACATGGTTACCAGGGAGCAGGGGCTGGCCGACTGCAACGGTCTCCTGCAGGAGGGGCTGGCAAAGCTCACACCCGCATAGAGAAGTGGTTGCTACCGAAGCGGTGGCACATCTCCCAGATTTTAATTATACAGCTTATTGAATGTATACATAGTTATACACCCATGTGACCAGCACCCCAGTCAAAATACAGAACATTTCATTTTTCTAGAAAGCTGCTTTGCAACCCTTTCCAGTAAATCCAGAAAATCTCTATCACCACAAATGTGCTGATTGAGAACTTGATATAAACAGAATAGTAAACAATGTACTTCTTTAATGTCTTTATTCACTCAACATTTGTAGTTCATTTGTGTTGATTTTTGTATCAGTGATTTTGTTATTTTTTAGTTCATTTGTGTTGATTTTTGTATCAGTGATTTTGTTATTTTTTATTGCCAGGTTGTATTCTATGAATATACCATAGTTTATCCATTTTCCTCTTGCTGGATGTTTGGGTTGTTCCCATTTTGTGGTTATTCTGAACACAGCTGCTGTGAATACATGTAACAAGTCCTTTTTTTTTTTTGTAACAAGTCCTTCTGTTGACATGTTTACATTTATTTGGAATAAACATCTAAGAATGGAATTTCTTGTTCACAGGGTAACCTTATGTGTACCTTTGTATGAAACAGCCATATTTCCAGAGTGGCTGTACCACTGACTATTTACAGCCATGTATGAGGCTTCCTCAACATGGGATTCCTGGGAGTTACACTCTGGGGAACTGCAACTGGGAAGGGAACATGGGGGTGTCTCCAGATTGAAAGCCACCCTTTCATGTGGCCTCTTTCTGTTCCTATTTCCTCTTCCTTTCCCACTGGGTCAACACCATCCCCCCCACCCCCACCAGATCAGCACCATCCCACTTCTAGGGGGCCCCATGTTGCTCACCTGTCCCTGCCACTGGTGCAGGGTGATGTCTCAATGCAGACTATTAACTGGGGGAGGGGCTTTGAGTCAATTGCTCTTCCTACACCACCTCCCTTCCTGTCTCACAAGCTTGTATGTTTCAGGGAGGGGCGGTTCCTGGCCCTGTTGCACAGCCCAGCCCCCTAAAGCCCAGCTTTGTGTTCTGCTGCACTCAGACCTGTGCTGAGAGCACACACATGTATTTGTGAATCACAGGGTGTAGATTGGTTAGCGTGACCGGAGCGGTAAGGCACTGTGGTAAAAGCCATGGAGAAGACTGGGACGAAGGTGGGCCCAAATGGTGGGGCATCCCTAGGACCTGGGTTTGGCAGGTTGACTTCTCTATCTCCATGCCTCTGGGGTCATCAGCCCGTTGAGAGCACAGGGCCCGCTGGTGCCAGAGTGCCCATCATCATTCACTTAGAAATGCCCTCAAGCACTGTCCCCAGACCTAGGGAGGGCCAAGTACAGTTTAGCCTCATGACTATACAGCAAGTGTAGCTGTGTGGTGGCGAGGCCAGGGGGTGGGGGTTCCTCGTCCTATCTCTGATCCCGAGCGACAAGCCCAACAGTGCCCTGGTGGTGCTTGACTTCCTGGTACAGTCTAACCTGCTGGACCTGAAATGGTGAGGTGCTGTGACCAGGATCTTGCATGTTGGGGCACAGGCCAGAACACCACGTCCTGCTCCCAACCCTCACCAAGCTGGGAGCTACCATGAAAAACACTGTGAATGCCACCACTGCCACCCACCTCAGCCTGACAAAGCCTTGTCTATCTGTGTTTATGTCCCATGTCTGCATGGGCCACAGACCACTCTGGGACATGAGAAAGAGACACAAGTTGCGGACTTTTCAGCTTTTATTACAAAAACGAGGAAGTGATTCCAGCCCAGTTTTCCAATAAAAGTCTGCAACTCAAAGTTTGACTTGGTCACAGCTTCTCTGGCTGGGGAGTAGGGCTGGTAGACAGGTGCAAGGCTTAGCTTTGACCACCCAACATTTCATTTTCCCCCACCCCACGCTGGACACCTGATGGCAAGTTTAAGTAGGTCTTGCAGCTGCTCACTGGGCCTCGTTGAAGCGCGTCACCATTGTCTTGTGCAGCGTCTCCTTGTAGGACTCAGTTGACGTGACCCCATAGGAGCTGCCTCGGGCACCCAAACCAGAGCCCCGCACCCGTGTCTGGGCCTGTGTGAGGAAAGCAGACTCTGTTAGTCAGCCAAGGCTACAGTGGAGAGCGCTGGAGGACGGGGACGGGATCCCAGCAGGCTCACCTCAATGGGAGTCACAATGCCCTGCTTCTTGCGGCCCAGGCCACTGCCCTCTTTCCAGCCCATGGCTTGGAGCATGCGACTGCCAATGTTGTCACTGCCCAGCCCATCCCGCGTGGGCTGCTCAAAGTCCCTGTAGGGGACAGGGGCACAGTGTGAGCGGCAGATCTGCTGGACCCATGCCCCCCACCTGGCCCTGGGCACTTACACGGAGGCCGCGGACATGCCACTGTACTTTCTCCTCTTGGGCTCTGGTGGCTCAGGGATGCCATACTTCTCTCTGCGTTCAGCTGCACGGTCCCGGTACTTCATTTGCTGCAACAGTGTATGTGTGTGAGAATGAAGGGGCTGACAGCTCTTTGCAGGAAACATGGGCACAGCTGGGGTGGGGGGGCCCACAGGGAATGAGATCTGGCCAACAAGTCTGAGGTCCTGTAGCTGCCAGTCTCCCGCCAACATGGGGTAGTTGGGAAGAAGCTGGCGCATGGGGACAGATGTGAGGTGGCTGATGGCAGCCAGACTGTAACTAGCTGAGGAACTTGCCCACACCAGTTGCCTGCATGACAGATGGGGTGCTTGGCAAGGGATCAACGGATGGAGCCGGGGAGTGGGTCACACCTCACCTCCATGTCATTCTTCTCAAGTGCCTCCAGCTCATTTTCTGACAGGTGGGCTCGCCGGTGAATCTCAAGGTTTTGCTGCAAAGGAGGACAGGAGGAGAGTGAAGTGGCTGGGCCAGGCCAGGCTGGGGTTCCCTGCCAGGCTTCCCTCAGTCACCTTGTGGAGCCCAGAGAGCTGCTGGTGCCGGATGAGGGCTTCCTTGCTGGGGAATTGGCGCCGGCAGAGCAGACAGGCCAGCTTCTGCCAGTCGGTGAGCTTCTCCTCCCGCTCTGGGCCCCCACGTTCCTGCTCCTCCTCACTGTCACTCTCCCCACTGTAGGCTGCCACCAGCCCCCTAGGTGGGCTCTGGAAAAGGGGAAGGCAAGAGGTCAGGATTGACTAGTTCACAGCCCCCCGCCCTTCTTTCTGCCCCAGGCACTCACTGGGCGGTCATCGCTGGCCAGTTTTGGGAGGTCCATGCTGGTGTGCTGTCTCTCGGCTAGTGCTCCCTGGGGCGGAAAAGTGGAAGTGTTAGTTGCTCTGTCATGTCTGACTCTTTGTAATGCCATGGACTGTAGCCTGCCAGGCTCCTCTGTCCATCGGATTCTCCAGGCAAGAATACTGGAGTGGATTGCCATGCCCTCCTCTAGGGGATCTTCCCGACCCAGGGATGGAACCCGTGCCTCCTGCATTGCAGGCAGATGCTTTGCCATCTGAAGCACCAGGGGTGGAGGAATAAGGAAATTCAGGGACTCCACAGAAGGACCAAAGGGATGACAATCCTGGGGACAGAGCACAGATGGACGGCCACAACACACCTTCTTCTCGAGGATGGCGTAGCCTGCATCTGCGGTGGCTGACTCCCGCCTTTCATCATCTCGCAAGTTGCTGATGGGCTGGAAGCTGTTTTTGAAGTTTTCTTTTTGTTTGTTGAGGCTGCGGGCCCAGCGTTCCATGTCCTTGGCAATCTAGGGATGAGGGTGGTGGGGGGTTGAGGCTCCTAGGAATCTTCCAACTGCTGGGGTCACCAACTCCAACCACTGCCCTTGTAGCAGCCCACCCCTTCCTGCCCTGCAGCCTCAAGCGGAAGGAAAGAGAGGCAGAGGTTAAAATCCCCATTTCTCTGCCATCCTGTCATTGGTGCTCCTCAGCAAGCCCCTCCCTGGCTGTGTCCCAATTCTCCTCACAGGCGTCCATGCTACTAGGGTCGCTGTGAGTTTTCATCATTCTGAAATGCATAGAATGGCTTGCTCTGCATACAATTTTAATTAACAGGTATGATTCTACGTATTAATGCCCAATCCCCACCCAGGCACACCATCAGTTTTAGAATTTACCGGGCTGTCAAGGGAACACGAAATTCTTGCTTCTAAGTGTTGCACCCAGACTGTCACACTCTTCCTCAGACAAGACATGGAGGTTCCCTCCAACTGCCCACCACCACAGAACACTGCGATGGCTGTTTTCCTGCCCACCCCCTGATGAGCCTGTAAGAAGTTCTCTGGCATGTGTATACACAGACAAATGAATACACACCATCAGGTGGGGTTCTGGACCCACAGGAGTAGACTTGTGCCTCTGTTTCCCTAGGCAGGGTTAGCCTGGCTTCAGGTGTGCCCAGACCAGCCCACACTGTCACCAACAGCACAAAGGTTCCCACCAGGAGACAGGAAAGTGGATAGGCTGCACTTGGATGGCAGTGGCCGCATCAGGAAGGTGGGCAGCCCCGCCATGTACCAAGGAGACAGCCCTGGCTCAAGGTCACACAGCACAGAGCAGAGCCAGACTGGGAGCCGGGTCTCTCTCAAGCACAGATACTGCCCAGAAGACACCTAACGGACAGACAGTGACTGCTGGACTCCCAGTGTTCACCTGTTGAGCTGTCTTGGTCTTGTGCTTTTCCTTCTTCTCTTTGCCCTCCTTGGAGGGTGCCCCTGTCTCCTTATGCCCGTCAGCTGACTGCTCCAGGGCAGGAACATAGGTCCGCCTCTCCCCATCCCAGTATAGGTACTGCTGGCTCTGGGCATTGTAGTAGTACTGGGGGTGATGGGGGAGAAGGGGTGTGAGGGAGGACTGAGACGATGGGGCTGCAGACTCCACCCCCTCCCCAGGCTGCCCCATCACCTGAGAGTTGGGATCATAGTAGAGGCCGGTTTGGGGGTCGTAGTAGTAGCCAGATGTCT